CAGGGAGCCCGATGCGGGACTCGATCCCGGGACTCCAGGATCATGACCTGAGCCGAAGGCAGTCGCTCAACCGACTGAGCCACCCAGGCGCCCTGTAGTAACTTTTTATAGTGACAGATGGTAACTATACTAATGCTGTATTTTGTAATGTTTATAACTGCCAAATCACTATGTTCTACACCTGAAAGTAATACAATATCTATGTTAACTATACTTCAATCAAAAATTAAAAATTTAAGTTAATTGAAATTTTTAAGAATGCTTGAAAGTTAAAAACTTGCTTATAGGATTTATAATTTTAAATATCTAAAATAGTTTTCCCAAGTGGGAAACTAGCCATTTCAAATGTGCTCTATTTCTAACAACTATAGGTAGCATAAAAAACAGTAGTAAAGAAAATATTTTAATATTTATAAATTATACTTGTTTTCCTGTGCAATATTTGAAATACACACATTTTCTGCTGGGAAAAAGTGACCATTTTTATACAAAAAATATACAAAATGCTCATTATATGGTCAGAGAAATCTGTATATTTTAGTAGCTCAAAAAATCCAAAATTGTATTTGTCTATTATACCCTCAGCATATTTCTTAAGCATATAATATGCAATATTTGTTAATTTCCACCTTCATCTGCTTTAATATATCTAAGCAATTCACCTGAAAGAGGATATAAAACCTGAATGATGTATAATTTAATAGCTAAAAAACACAGCATCTTGGAACTTGGGAACTCCAAGATCATCACATTTATTACTCTTCTCATCTTACAGAAAAGAAAACTAAAACTTAAAATTAACTTACTTCCACAGGTTACAAAGTATGCTGTTTGAACTTACAAGAACTGAATTTCATTATTTGTTGATAGCCTGGCTTTCTGGCATTCGCAATTCTAGTAACAATTTTTTATTTGACCCAAGAGTCAACTTTCTCTCCAAGGCCTTTTATTTTTTTTAAGATTTATTTATTTGTTTTAGAGCGAGAAAGAGTGCATGCAGGGATGGAGGGGCAGAGGGAGAGAGACTCCTCAAGCAGACTACCTGCTAAGCATGGAGCCTGACATGGGGCTTGATTCCAAAGCCCTGAGATCATGACCTGAGCCAAAATCAAGAGTCGGACACTCAACCAATTGAGCCACCCAGGCACCCCTCCCTAAGGCCCTTTTTTTTTTTTTATTAAAAATTTTTTTTTTAAAGATTTTATTTATTTATTTGAGACAGAGAGAATGAGAGAGAGAGAGCACATGAGAGGGGGGAGGGTCAGAAGGAGAAGCAGGCTCCCTGCTGAGCAGGGAGCCCAATGCGGGACTCGATCCAGGGACTCCAGGATCATGACCTGAGCCGAAGGCAGTCGCTTAACCAACTGAGCCACCCAGGCGCCCAGGCCCTTTTTAAGCTAAGGCATACAGAAAGTAATATAATGGATTTACTTGTTTCAGATTTATTATCATTACAAATTAAAAAACAAAAGCTTATCAAAAAAATCCACCTAAAATAAACCTCATTTAAAGATAAGTCCCATTTAAAACATGTTCTACAAATTCTTACAGAATTTAAGCTTTCATAATACTAACTTACCAAAAGTTGTTCCACCAGTTTCTTGACATTCTGCCCCATTTCTGGAGACTGTGATCCACTACATGCTAGTTTTATTAACATTGCAAGGAAGTTCTTACATTTCTTCACATTTTCTAGCATCGCCTAAAGAGAGAAATATAAACACAAATGTTAGCTGGAAAACAGAATTCAAGAAAATTTCTAAAGAGCTGTATTCATGTAAGATGGAAGTGGGAGCTTACCGGAGAAAGACTCGTCTGAACAGCTGCTGAGTTCTCTGTGTTGAGACTGGGCTCATTTGAGGGGGCAGCTGATGCTCCCAAACTTGAAGGCTTCAGGGTAGTTACGGAATTCAACGGCTTTACAGGAGTAACTGTGACAACATTGGCTGGCACAGCTACAGACTGAAATTAGAAGTAGTGCACATTTAGATATGTATTACTATGAACTGTATCACAGCAGGTGCCTCGTTTCACACTTATCAGACTACACATGGATCTTGACATCTTTGCTTTCATGTTATGTTCTACTAGTCTAAGGCATCAGAACACTGTTGTAAGAGCTCTGGACTTCAGCAGATCTGGGTTTCATTCTCATCTACCTACTTACTTTATTATTATTTTTTTTAATGTTCAATGAGCCAACGTATCTACCTACCTACTTTTCACTGACACCTACTGAGTGTTGACTTCAAGCAAGTTACTTAACCTTGCTAATACTTTGATTCTCGTCTGTAAAAAAACAAGGACAGAAATGGTACCTCCCTACTCTCCTAGGTTTGTTTGTGAAAAACAGTACCAAGTGCATGGTCCTCAAAACACATTATTAATACTTCTCTAAAAAGAATTTGAAATAGTAAGTTTTTATATGAAAATATAGAATATCCTATTCCGTAATTTTCTGCTTTTTCTTAAGTATAAAGCAGAGAGATCTACTGATCATCTTATGCTCAGATAAGCTGCTTTTATCTAGACTCTTAGAGTAAGCATAATGAATATTACAAACTGTGATAGCTTATTTTCACACTGAAAAGAATTTTGGTTATGTCTTCCACCTTCTATTGAAATGAGGTGTGATTATAGCACCACCCGCAGGATAAAAAGTTCAATACAAGAAATCACAAGTCAGGCAATAATTTAGACAACTCAGATAAAGCAAAAATCTTATTTTAAAACAAACACAAAGTTACAGAACATGAGTCAAGTTTGAGGGTGATGGGAGAGACAACAGTATTTACAACTGACTCAGAAAACTGAACACTGCACCATCATTTTAATTTAAATATTTGTATTCCAGAGGTATACAACACAAAAAGGTCAGGTTGCAATCACCTTCAAGAAAATTTCCTTTGGTAACAGTCAAAATAAGTGAATTCAAATGTACACCAAAATTTCCCACTTTAGAAAGACTGGAGCATATATTAGACGAAGCATGCTTTAAGGGTAAAAATGGGGAAAAAATTTAAAACACTGATTAATGGTGAAGAGACTAGAATGATGAAATGTTAAGCAAAAAAGGTAAAAATAACTGCACCTAATTTAGTGAAATATTATTAAAGTAGATCTCAAGGCAACAATGAAAATGAGTCACCTTCCTATTCCTAGCCTTAGTTCTGCTCTCCAAGGACAACTACTGTGCAGTTTCTCTGAATCCTTTTGGAGACTGTCTAATAAACTTTTTCAGCTTAATCTACAGTAATTAAATACTCTTTCTTCAGTGAGTCTATATTTATACTCTGCCATTAACTCCTTATGCTATTATTTAAAGAAAGCATAATCTATAACTTTAGCTAGTGATTATGATTACCCTTCTGGACTAATGGGAAGGGTTCCTCTCCCTTATGAAGCAAAATAAGAGCCAATGAAATGTGAGCTCAGGAAAAGCATCCTATTTTTTGTGAACATTTACGGCATTTCTACTTTCCTTGTTAATATTTTATAGCCTCTAGTACAAAATCTGTCCTTCACAACTCTAATATAGCTACTAGCTGTACCTTACCAGATACCTGCACCTTCCAGGCCAATTCTTCCTCCTAAGAGGCACAAGGAGGTACACAATCCCAGTCTTACTCTACCTACATAATCCCATTGCAGTAATGGGTAGACCATCTTAAACTCAATCATAACTCCTGATATTGAAGCCCAGCCCATTCTATTTCCATGCTTTCCAAGACCACAATGGCACTGATTATGAATGTCTGGGGGGCATGACCTAGAAGCTGGCAGCCTAGTAAAGTATCAGAACAGCCTGCAGAGGGCACAGGTGAAGTGCAAACTCAGGCAATACTCAATGAAGATGGAATTCCATCCTCCAAGATTCAGTGTAAGCTGTATCAAGAAACTCTATGGTACTATGTCTCCAATAGGACAAATACATGAAAACCAAGGAGTAGAGGAGCAGAGGGATGAATGGAACCACTTATCATCACTCCCAAAGACGCAATGGGGGACGCTGTGCTTCCCATTTCTACCCGCGGGGACACACTTTCACCAGAGAACACAGCAAGAGTTCCCATAAGCTAGACACCATGGCTGCCTCCTGGGTACTTCAGGTTCCTAGTGTCTAAGGAACAGCAGTAAAGAATCATTATCATGGCAGGGATAATTGACCTGACATCTGGAATAGGTAGGGTTGCTATTACACAATAGAGACTGAGGAAGAATATGTGTGGTGAATCCAGGTGATCCACTTAAGCGCCTGCTGGTGTTTCTTTGCCCAGTTGTTATGACACCATGTCTCAAGAGAGCATGGTGAGTAGGACCTCAGATCGCTCAGGGATGAAGGTCTGGTCACACCACCAGTTAAAAGTTACCAAGACCAGCAGAGTTATTAATTGAGAATGGAGAGAATCTAGAATGAAGAGGAGAGTCAAGGAGGGAGATGATGAGTATCAGCAACAATGGTGAAGACTGTAGTTCATCCTAGTAACCTCCTCTTCTTTGTTTCCCCAAGGAAGAAACCCACTGGAATTCCAAAAGATCTGGTCTTTAACATATTTAAGGAAGTAGATCCCAGTGACACCAGGAGTAAACTGTGATATACCATTACAAGGAAATCTGTTTTGTCCCAGCTGTGGGGAATGCTATTATATAGCCCACAGATGTCAGTTCTTTCAGGATTTGTCTCAACTACAAAGAATTACCCTGCCCAACAGCACAACTTCCTTGTGGAGTTGACATCCAGTGACTTATCCCAGAGGGGGAATTAAGGCCCAGCTGACCAATGCTGGCACACAGTAGAACAACTCTGACAGGCCATATTTCCTCCAATGTTCTCCACCCAGTTGGCAGAGGCTTTACTGGGCCTGCATCTAGTTCAAAGTCTTATTCTCCTTCCCTTCCACAGATATCGATAATTAATAAATACCTCCTATGCCAAAATTCTGTCCTGACAACTGCTTCTAGACCCTCTGACACATGGCTATTAGATGTATTTGTATTAATTTATTACATGCAAGTAAAACTGATATTCCAAGATCATACACGATGTTTATCTTGTGTTCTCCACAGCTCCAACCGTTCCCACTTTGATAAGTGTCACCAAATATCACTGAATTGCTTTCTTCAAGGTCACATGGTCATTGTGGCAACTTATACATCTGGCAGAAAATAGCTAAATGAGAAAGAAAGGTGAGAGAAAAACCAGTGCATGCATGGACAGAAGTCAGTCACAACTTACTTGTACTGAGGAAGGCTTTGGAACAGTGGTTACAACAGTAGTTCCTATTTGTGCCAATTTTTTAACAGGTGCCACTGCCACTTTCTTAATTAACTGTGAACTAGAATTCTGGGGGGGAGGGGGGAGAGAGGAGAGATAATAGAGTCATCAGCATTAGTAATTTTAAATCAGTCAGTACTACTGTAAACATTAAACATTAAAACACTTCACCATAGCAAACTTCTTTGTTATAACTGGCTTTAAAACCTTAGAGATTTTAAGCACGTTTTCCACTATGAACCTAACTGGTCAACTGGCCAACTGACACCCACTTCGTGTTCCTAAGGAGGCAACTGATTTAACAAATAAATATTACAGTATTTTAGCATTAAAATCTTGAACTTTACTCTTTGGCTCATAGAGAAAATAAATGGATTCTTATTTAACATCTAATTATAAACAAAAATCTGCTAACCTATCTTCTCAACTCACAGCAGTTAGATAAAGCAAATTGGAAAGGAAAGGAGAAGCTGTCATTGAAAGATACAGTAACAGAGAAAATGGTCGAGAACCTAGAACCAAATACTAGGAAAGCACAAAATGGGGGCTTGTGGGGGAGCGGACAGAACTGACAGCAAATATTACCACAGAATACTATGCAATCCTTCATTAGGATGAACCTGACTCATCAAGAAAATGTTATACCATTCAGCATTTTTTATTTTACCAGAGAAAGACGCCATTAAGAAAATTTTTTTATTGTATTTTTTATTGTATTTTTTCTTTTTCTTGTTGTAAAAAAAAATTTTTTTTTAACCTCTGGCACACAAGATAAATTTTAGTTAGTTACCTGGAAAAATTATCATGTATGTAAAATTAACCATTTTCTAACAACACCAACTAATGAAATATTACAGATTTCTGAATTTCTTAAAAGTCAGTCCTGTAAGGTATGTATAAAAATGAACACCATAAACTGTAGTGTTAATATTTTATACCACAAATTGGGCGCCTGGGTGGCTCAGTTGGTTCAGCGACTGCCTTCGGCTCAGGTCATGATCCTGGAGTCCCGGGATCGAGTCCCGCATCGGGCTCCCTGCTC